TTCTTCTTCTTCTTCTTCTTCTTCTTCTTCTTCTTACGATTTTAAAATAAACAACACGTATCTATTTTCACCTCATGTATCACAATTTGTTTTTCAGGTAAACTATAAGTCGCCATGTCCTACCTGCGAGAAGACGTTCTGGCTAGAGGCCGGGAGGTTTTGAAAACCGTCAACAACGGGCTGTACGATGGTGTGCCGTATTCCAGACTGGACACAGTGCAAGACAGTGACAAGATGTTCGAAATGATCCAGAACGCGAACTTGGGCGAAGGTGACATCATGTCATCCGGGTTTCTCCGCTCCGGAAACCACTGGGTGTTTGAGATTGTGGGCCACATCATGAAGCAGGAGATGCGTGACGATAGAGACGATCAAATGTTCAGAACCCTGGAGTTTATGGGAGCTGAGGCAGAGTCCAGGATAAACAGCCTCCCCTCCCCTAAAGTGATTACGTCACACATGAGAATGACGCATCTGCCGAAGAAAATTCGAGAAGGAAAAGTCAAGTTGATCTACGTGATGAGGAACCCGAAAGATGCGATGACGTCATGGTATCGTCTCCTCAACGAAACCAAAATAGCCGCTGATGGGTTTCATGGGACCTGGGAGGAATTCTTGGAAGTTTCGGTGAGTTGTTGGTTATTTATGGTGTAAAAGATACAAAGTCATAATATGAATTTTTAGTTTGAACTTGATTTAACAGAAGAACATCGACACAATAGAGTCACATAGTGTAAGAAAGAAGCAAGACAGATTGACAGACACAAAAGAGGGAAAGAAAGCAAGTAGAACCTACCACTGGCACACTTCCACCACCCGAGACATATTAATAATGTGAATAAAATAAACGCTTAAATCGGCTTAGTACCATGAAATGTATATATATTATTAATCGCAGTAATAAATTATTAATGTTGCAAGTCTCTGTAAACCGAGTTGATTACGGCAAGCTCATGGATCTCCTGATGGAAATGGATGTTGACCCCTGGTTGATACAATGGATCTCCGAAGCTCTGTTTGAGAGGAAGGTGGTGCTGAGAAGTGGGCGATGGATGTCAGACCCAGTAGTTATTGCCTCAGGACTGCCACAAGGATCAGCATTATCACCGGTTCTGTTCAACACATCCAAAATTGCCAGAATCGGTGTAAGTGGAGCAGGAAGAATCCTCACATTTGCAGATGATTTGATGGTCTACAGACAAGGTCGCGATAGGCTAGCGGTTGGACAGATGCTACAGGACAGGCTGAACAAGGTCGCAGATTGGTGCGAGGAATACAATGCAGTCATCAACCCAGACAAAGCACAGGTCATCTGGTGCTCACTCAACAACCGTATTGTGAAAGATCCTACGCCTCCAATTGTGTTTGACCACTTTCTCATAGACAGACAGCATGAGCTGAAGTACCTGGGAATCACTCTGGACAGGACACCTTCTTTCGTTCCGAGGACATATTGACAATGTTGCTGTCAGGGCTCAGAAGGGCATCAATGTAGTGAAGACCTTGGCTTCAGCGGGAATTCAACAGAGAGTTCTTTTCCTCCTAATGCAGCTGGTGGTTCTGTCAGTCATTGACTATGGGCTAGGCGTTCTCTCCCTGTCCAAGACTCAGATAGACAGGTTGGAGAGAGTACAGAATGCAGCTATGAGAGCCGTTCTAGGTTGCACAAAGGACACCCATGTTGTCTGTATGAGATACATCGTTGACCCAGCCCGCATCAGAGTGAGGCGTAAGGTGGCACAGGCAAAGCTGTACTTGAATGTTTTGGGAGACCCGAGGCACCCTTTGCATGACAACCTGGGCAGCATCAAAGGAAACAGGATCAAACGGGGCAGCTCATGGATGGCAGAAGCCGAAGACTCCTTGAGGAAAGTTTGTGGCATCGATGAAATCTGCTGTGGAAAGGGGTGGTTTGAACTGAGCCCCGATTGCAGAAGCCTGGCCAACGTTCACATCACTATAGGTCGTGAAAGACGGGAATGTGCTGCTGTCATTAACGAAAATGATATACGACAGTTAATTGAGGAGCATTCCAAGCCAGAGGACCCAGTGATCTATACGGATGGATCAGTCAGGAGGGGTGAGAGAAGTGGATGGGGTTTTGTGGTGTACAGTGGGAACAAAAAGGTTCATGGCATGTCAGGGGCCATAGAAAGAACAACTTCAAGCACGAAAATGGAGATTGAGACCGTAATAAGAGCGCTTGGATGGCTTCATAATACAAGACCAAGAACAACTCATCTCATCATTGTCACGGACTCCCAGAGCATCTTGCGAAGGGTTGAGAAAGGGCTTCTTCGGAGTGAATGGATGAACCCCATACAACACTCATCACTTAGAGCCATCACGTGGATATTCTGTCCTGGGCACTCTGGGGTGAAAGGCAACGAGGAGGCTGATAGGCTGGCAGGCAGTGCCGTGGTTGAGGTGAGGTGAAATTTGACAAAGGAGAAGTGTTGAAGACCCTGGAGAAAAAGTTGCGGGAGGAAGAAGACAAGGAGACAGCAGAACGCCACGCAATCATTAGAATGCGGGAAATGGGGATAGAGAGGGGAGAAGGAAGAAAGGGACGATTATCTGGAAAGGAAAGACGTCGCCATAATCAGACAGCCACAATTAGTATGGATACCTTGCGCGCTTTGGTGCTGGGGGGAACTGAGCACTTATGGACCTGCCCGGAGTGCAATGACGTTGTTGCCCAGGACAGGTAATACAGGTACAGGTCTCTGTAAACGCCATTTAGATCCGTAGCGGGGACTGAGGTTGGGGTGGGTTGGAGGCTGCTTCTATTCTACTCTGTCTGCCAAGATCAACTCTGGCTTAGTGAGATAATAATATTTTGTTTAGATAGAGTTTTGCTACACTTGCAACACAGTTAAGTCATATAAGTGCCTAATATAAGAAGTGTTACTATACGTAGTTACGTACAAGTAAAAAAAAAAGAGGAGGGATAAGTACGACAGATATTCGATAGGAAAGAAGGAGCCAACCGCATCAAAGCACACGCGAACCGACCACGCAGTGGGATCAAACATCCCAGCAGAATGACGGAGATGCTCAATAGAACAGAATTATGGGTTTTTGGCGGTTGCCCTGGTGTGTTTGGCTCCTTGTTTTCTATCAATCTAACGTCCTTCCGATCTCCCCTCCCACTTTTTATGTTTGTTACTCTCTTGTAACACTTCTAATATTCGGCACTTATATAATATATGACAATTAATTACTGTGTTGCAAGTACCGTAAAACTCTTTCTTAAACTACAGATTTCCCCTTCGGGAAACGAACTCTCGTGCAACAGGAAAGAGTCAAACTATTTTTAATTTTTAGATGCCAATGATTTTACGGAGAAGTTGCACAGTAGACTTGATGCGTGGAGTGCTTCCTTTGTTTTGCTTACATGCATATTATGCATTTCTGTTCTGTGGAAGCTTAGACTAAATCGACCAGCGTCTTAAGTGTAAAGGCTAGACTCTTCGTTACGCCTGGAGGAGACCTGAGTTCGATTCCGGACTGGTTGGGCGGGGGG